TCTCTCACATTAACATGCTCATCTCTCACATTAACATGCTCATCTCTCACATTAACATTAGTAGCCCCGCTCACTTCGTGTATGACCCTTGGGCTGCACCCATTTTAAACCTTTAAACCGTTTGCCTCAGCAGCTTTCCTCTTTACTCCTCCTGATGACGATCGCTTGTGTTGTGATCGAAACGTCGTAGTTTTTGGTTATTTTTTTTATTTTCTTTCAACCTAACTACGTGACTTTACCGAAAGACCCAAAGAATGAGGCAACTCTAGTTACTGGACAAACATGAAGCATAATTATCTTGAAATGTGGGGAAATGTTTGTAGTTCAGAAGCGAATGTACGTGAGGTTAAGAATACAGTTTGCTTCGTCTGCCCAGACAGACACGGGTCTGGCTACCAAGGGGAAGGGAATACCTCGGGCCAGATGGTGGGGTGTGCTGTGAGTGTAGATCTGTGAGTCGCTGTGTATGCTTGTGGATGTCTGTGTGATTCTGTGGGTCCCTGTGATCGCAGTCTAAGAGCTGATGGTGGGACGTGGGATACGTTCAGGGCTGATCTTTCGGCAGCAGTGACGGGCCGTAGTGGCTTTTGCCGTGGAAGACATCCAGTCAACATGCACCACGACAGGACAGAGAAGTTCACTTTGCCGCATGCTTCTCTCGCCGTCCACTCGTTGAAGACGTCGGTAGATGGTTTAATCATCAACGTTCAAGCGACATGGTTACGTGCGAGCATCGGGCTGGCAATTAAGTGTGAGCGTGTCTAACAAAACATCACGCTATAAAATAGTATACACACACATTAGAAATGTAGAGCGACCTTGAGTACAATAACAGGGTGGAAATCATGTCGAATCGGTTAAAGAGGGCGGGAGTGATCATTTGGGACCCAGGAACGCAGCCCTATTATCCCCATAAGTTCCACTATTTGTCCAAATCAATATTGCCCAACAGGGAATTTTCTAGGAACGTAACCCCCGCTCTCGGCGAGGTGTGCCTGTATCTTGCAGTTGATACGTGCCCGTGCATTTGAAATAGTCTTTACATGTATGTTGAGAAATGTACGTTATATGGATGACCAAATGTAAGTATATGGTGTGAACATTTTAATAGCTATCTGGTTTTCAAGAGGAGACACACAACATCGTTTTGATATGTAGAGCATATTTATTTGAGGAGAAGGAAGGGCAACTTGGTAACATACAGGACCCACGCAAGCATCATTGGACAATTGCACATCTTAGACGACCACACAGTGAGACATTCCACAATCATCCTAATAGGTGTTATATTATGGTATGTCTATATTTACTTTTATTATGCTTGTTCGCCCAGGAAAACCTCGTTTTTCGCAGGAGGGTCAAGTTTGCTGTGCGTGATACAACTTGAGTAATTTTCAGTAAATATTTTCAACATTCGGATGTTTGACTGAAACCAATTACGTTGTATGTTTTATTATTGGGAGGAAACCAGAGAACCCGGAGAAACCCCATGCAGAACAGAGGGGGAACACACAAACTCCACACAGACAGGCACCCAAGGCATAAAACAAACGCAACGACGTCTTGCTGTGAGGCACAAATGTTACAACGGCGCTTCTCTGCCGCCTGTCGGCTGGAAGAAATGTGGCATATGCCGGGTATAATCCAAGGGGGTGTCTGCAGGTTTCTGAATTTCAGTCGTAATTCAGAATGAATACACCCAAGTAAAAGAATGCCCAAGGAATGATTACCCATGTTTTTAAAGTGTCTCAAATCACTGTCTGAAATTGTGGAAATGCCAATACCAAAGCAACACGCTAAATGATTGATACGCTAATTAGTTATCCAAAAGGCATGCGGTGACCCATCAGAGGTCAAACAGTCTTCGGTCAGATCTTGAACTTAACGGATCTTTTGAAATGAGCGCTTCATCACCACGTTTCCGATGGTGTAAGTCTGAAACAACACGCGTACCATGGTTAGAGAAATGTGTACGTGGCATTGTAAACATTGTAGCAGACTCCTCTGAGGTGGTACGGTGAAGTACGGGAATAACTCCCATGGCTGATATGGTATGGCAAGGATTTCATCCAGCAGTGGATTGACAAAGGACAAATTATTAGTATAAATATAGAATTACAATCTAATGCTGTCATGATATATTCATTGGGATGCCATGATTCCAAATAAAAAAATGATTCTTGCATTCATGGCATGCGTGAATTTTTCACGTAAAATTAGTTATTTTGTATTTGGATGTGGCACATGAATTGTGATATATGATTAATAAGTAACATGTGACATATGATCCATATGTGATGATGAGTTTATAACAACGCTACAGCTCCATGTGCCCTACACGCACCGTAACAGCCAAACAATAATTAATGGTGTGATTGGAAGCGTAGCCCGGTTAAAAAATCCTCTCTATGCTGACGGGGAGAATCAGGAATCTGAATTTGGGCTGTTCAGCGATAATCCGTAAATTCATGATCGGTTTCACATCAAAGTCAGGAATTTATAGTTGCACACCGATTGACAAGGGCAATCATTCAAGCCACACGGCGGATTAAAGGTAACTCGTCTATCTAATGTCTTGGAAAAGTGTGGAGAGGGAACATTTCAAATCACGTCCCACCCTTCTCCCATGCAAGGTGCGTGATGCAGTGACTGAACCGGACACTGCGCCCAGGGCTCTGTGCTTGGGGTCACTCACCGCGTAGAGCTTCCCATCCCGGACCTCGCGGACGATGGTGTTCACGGCGTCTCCCCACTTCTGCACGTGCAGCAGCTTTCCTCCGTCAACTGACACGATGCTCTACGATGCACAACAAACACATTCGTCATCTCCACTCGCGAACCTGAACTCGTAGTGAACATTTCCCTGATGGGATCAAATCCCTCCAGAGAGCAAGAATTATTCCCTTCATAGACATAATTGGGGCGAAGTGATGGTTAATTTATCACCACAGAGGGATGAATGACTGAGCAGAGTTATCGGCTTGCTTGAACTGCCAGATGTTTAGAGGCAAGAACCCTCTCTGTTGGATATGGGTCCTAGTTCGATGCAGAATTATATAATACACAACCAAAAACAATGTTGCGTAGAATATTTGTAACAAAAAGGTCCCTCCCACCTTTACTTTCCTGTTGTCCAACGTGACTTCTTCATTTTCCGCATTCAGCTTGCCGGTGAAAGCCGTCGAATGTATGTTGGTAGTGCTCTCGATGGTCACGTGCTCCCCATCGATGCTGATGATCTGGATGTACTTGTTTGATGGACCGAGGACACTTTTGAATGCGTCAAAGTTATTGCCTTTCAAAGAAGAAAACAGTCAGACAGCCATGAGTTTAATGAGCATTGACCATCGGCGAGGTCAATTCTACGTCCCCAGCTTGCCGTCACCCCACCCTCTCACACCCTGCCCAGCACTCTTTGTTGAGGCGCACGTTCAATCCCACTCAGTGCACACTTTAAACAGATTAAAACACAAGTCAAATTGCATACATCGTATTGGTGTAACAAACCGCAGGCCGCTGAGACTCTAGCATGTGACAGATGGCCATGTGCTCCGTGTGCGCACACAACGAGCCCTGCACGTGACACTGAGAGCCGCGCATTCTCACCGATGGCCTGGACGTACGGCAGGAGGTTCTCGCTCCCCTGGAGGTCCCAGGTCCCGTTGAGAGCCTTGACTGCCATTGCGATGTCAGCTGAGGGTTGAGACGAAGGAGTTGGACTGCACTCTGCCACAGATGGACTGCACGGGACCAAGTCACCACCTTTTAAAGGAGACGAAACTTATGTAACCATCTCCATATCCCTCTGGGTGTCAACAATCACACAGTTGATGACACGTGTCATATCTTGCCTTTTTTTGGTGGTTTAGTAGGTGTGAGCCAAGTTGTAGTGATGTATTGATTACAATTCTGTGATTTAAAAGGTTTATTGCCAGCGGGAGAATGCTGAATTATTTAGATGTTCTTTTTTTTGGAATAGCTGATCACCCAAGAACCGAATCTTATATAAGCGAGGGATCCCTGTGCAATGGAAAATACTCAAAGTTTATATGACCAGCGAAATGAGGGGGATCCTTCACGTACACCAATAGTGGTGCATCTCAAATAACTCACCAATCGTGGTGCATCTCAAGTAGCAGGATCAATAGTGGTGCATCTCAAGTAGCAGATCAATAGTGGTGCATCTCAAGCAGCAGATCATTAGTGGTGCATCTCAAGTAGCAGATCAATAGTGGTGCATCTCAAGTAGCAGATCAATAGTGGTGCATCTCAAGTAGCAGATCAATAGTGGTGCATCTCAAGTAGCAGATCAATAGTGGTGCATCTCAAGTAGCAGATCTGCTACTTGAGATGCACCACTATTGATCTGCTACTTGAGATGCACCACTATTGATCTGCTACTTGAGATGCACCACTATTGATCTGCTACTTGAGATGCACCACTATTGATCTGCTACTTGATCAATAGTGGTGCATCTCAAGTAGCAGATCAATAGTTGTGCATCTCAAGTAGCAGATCTGCTACTTGAGATGCACCACTATTGATCTGCTACTTGAGATGCACCACTATTGATCTGCTACTTGAGATGCACCACTATTGATGTACGTAAAGGATCTCCCTCATTTCGCTGGTCATATAAACTTTGAGTATTTTCCATTGCACAGGGATCCCTCGCTTATATAAGATTCGGTTCTTGGGTGATCAGCTATTCCACAAAAACATATTTTCAAAATAATCCCGCGATCACCCGCTGGCGTTCAAAGTTTTAAATCACAGAATATTAATCAACACCTCACTGCAACTTGGCTGACGCCTACTAAACCACCACAAAGAGGCATGGCATGACACATGTCACTGTGTGATTGTTGACACCCAGAGGGATATGGAGATGGTTACACAAGTTTCGTCTCCTTTAAAAGGTGGTGACTTGGTCCCGTGCAGTCCATCTGTGGCAGAGTGCAGTCCAACTCCTTCGTCTCAACCCTCAGCTGACATCGCAATGGCAGTCAAGGCTCTCAACGGGACCTGGGACCTCCAGGGGAGCGAGAACCTCCTGCCGTACGTCCAGGCCATCGGTGAGAATGCGCGGCTCTCAGTGTCACGTGCAGGGCTCGTTGTGTGCGCACACGGAGCACATGGCCCTCTGTCACATGCTAGAGTCTCAGCGGCCTGCGGTTTGTTACACCAATACGATGTATGCAATTTGACTTGTGTTTTAATCTGTTTAAAGTGTGCACTGAGTGGGATTGAACGTGCGCCTCAACAAAGAGTGCTGGGCAGGGTGTGAGAGGGTGGGGTGACGGCAAGCTGGGGACGTAGAATTGACCTCGCCGATGGTCAATGCTCATTAAACTCATGGCTGTCTGACTGTTTTCTTCTTTGAAAGGCAATAACTTTGACGCAGTCAAAAGTGTCCTCGGTCCATCAAACAAGTACATCCAGACCATCAGCATCGATGGGGAGCACGTGACCATCGAGAGCACTACCAACATACATTCGACGGCTTTCACCGGCAAGCTGAATGCGGAAAATGAAGAAGTCACGTTGGACAACAGGAAAGTAAAGGTGGGAGGGACCTTTTTGTTACAAATATTCTACGCAACATTGTTTTGGTTGTGTATTATATAATTCTGCATCGAACTAGGACCCATATCCAACAGAGAGGGTTCTTGCCTCTAAACATCTGGCAGTTCAAGCAAGCCGATAACTCTGCTCAGTCATTCATCCCTCTGTGGTGATAAATTAACCATCACTTCGCCCCAATTATGTCTATGAAGGGAATAATTCTTGCTCTCTGGAGGGATTTGATCCCATCAGGGAAATGTTCACTACGAGTTCAGGTTCGCGAGTGGAGATGACGAATGTGTTTGTTGTGCATCGTAGAGCATCGTGTCAGTTGACGGAGGAAAGCTGCTGCACGTGCAGAAGTGGGGAGACGCCGTGAACAGCATCGTCCGCGAGGTCCGGGATGGGAAGCTCTACGCGGTGAGTGACCCCAAGCACAGAGCCCTGGGCGCAGTGTCCGGTTCAGTCACTGCATCACGCACCTTGCATGGGAGAAGGGTGGGACGTGATTTGAAATGTTCCCTCTCCACACTTTTCCAAGACATTAGATAGACGAGTTACCTTTAATCCGCCGTGTGGCTTGAATGATTGCCCTTGTCAATCGGTGTGCAACTATAAATTCCTGACTTTGATGTGAAACCGATCATGAATTTACGGATTATCGCTGAACAGCCAAAATTCAGATTACTGATTCTCCCCGTCAGCATAGAGATGATTTTTTTAACCGGGCTACGCTTCCAATCACACCATTAATTATTGTTTGACTGTTACGGTGCGTGTAGGGCACATGGAGCTGTAGCGTTGTCATAAACTAATCATCACATATGGATCATATGTCACATGTTACTTATTAATCATATATCACAATTCATGTGCCACATCCAAATGCAAAATAACAAATTTTAAGTGAAAAATTCACGCATGCCATGAATGCAAGAATCATTTTTTTATTCGGAATCATGGCATCCCAATGAATATATCATGACAGCATTAGATTGTAATTCTATATTTATACTAATAATTTGTCCTTTGTCAATCCACTGCTGGATGAAATCCTTGCCATACCATATCAGCCATGGGAGTTATTCCCGTACTTCACCGTACCACCTCAGAGGAGTCTGCTACAATGTTTACAATGCCACGTACACATTTCTCTAACCATGGTACGCGTGTTGTTTCAGACTTACACCATCGGAAACGTGGTGATGAAGCGCTCATTTCAAAAGATCCGTTAAGTTCAAGATCTGACCGAAGACTGTTCGGCCTCTGATGGGTTACCGCATGCCTTTTGGATAACGAATTAGCTTATCAATAATTTAGCTTGTTGCTTTGGTACGTGCATTTCCACAATTTCTGGCAGTGATTTGAGACACTTTAAAAACGTGGGTAATCATTCCTTGGGCATTAATTTTACTTGAGTGTATTGAGTCTGAATTATTGCTACAATTCAGATGCCTTGAGCCGCTCCCTCACGCCACGCCCTGCACATTCCACCTTCCTTCTCAGCCATCAGGCGGCAGGATGGCACAGGAGGAACATTTGTGCCTCAGCAAGACGTCTTTGAGTTTTATTTCCCACTTGGGTGCCGTTCTGTGCGGGGTTTGTGTGTTCTCCCCTTGTTCTGCACGAGTTTCCTTCACGTTATCCGTTTTCCTCCCACACACAATGTAACAGACATCCCCCACTGCTGAAAATGTCTCTCTGCCATGAGTCGGACTTACCTAGAAAATGACAGCCCTCTCATGGGGATGATTTCTTATTGTGTGCTTGCCTAAATTGTGGAATTGTCCGATATTGCCTGCTTCGGTATTTGTTACCAATATCTGCTTTTAAGCAATTAAATATTCTCTACATATCAAAACGGTGGTTTGTGTCTCCTGTTTAAAATCGGTTCGCATAAATGTTGCACTTCCACGTACGGTACATTTTCTCCAACGGCCATGTAAAGAATACAGTATTTCAAATGTACAAGCACATGTCAACTGCAATATACTAAACTGCAATATACTACCACAGTCAAAACCCATCAAGCTTCGCTCGGGTTGCCACCTGTATGTGTTTAACTGGGAGTTTGTATCAGTGTGTCTGTCCCGAGATCTGGTGGTATTGTGTTGAACACTCATATTTTACTACCGCACAGTCTTGATAGACAAGGAGAGGGAGGCAAATACAGACAGGAAGAGAGAAACAAGGAGAGAGGAACACAGACAAGGCAAAGAAAGGCATGCAAAGGGTTGACTAACAAGCTCCTACCAAATAACAATTAAAACAAAATATACCAATATTGACCAGTGATGATGAAATAATAATGCCTTTACTCCTGCATACTCTAATCTAAACACCACACAATCAAGACTTTGACGTTTCAGTTCAAAGTTGCAGGAAAATACAATTTCCAAGATTAACTTATCATCCAGGCAACATTTTTTTTTTTGCCAAACCATCAAACAACGGTGGTCACCGCATCGCACGGCGCTTTTCTGCAGCCGTCTGAAACGCTCTTCGTTCCAATATTAGGAAGCGGAGCCTGACCTCGATCTTCTTTTGGTGAGTTCTCACCAGGCGAAACAAATCTATTTGTTTTTAAATATAATCGTGACTACGAACGGGATAATCGAATCGCGGGTGTTGGGGTCTGGTTGTGGCTGAGAGCGTTCCCCTTGGCTGAGCGGCCAGCGCTGCTGCGGGTTCTCACTCGGAGGCGCCGTGCATGTTACCGTCCAGTAAAGTCCTCGTTTAAGAAAAACTCGTTAAACAAAAACTAGTTCCTTGCAAACAATGTAACGATAGAGTTTGGCGAGATACGACGTGGAGATACGACGTGGGCACACGCCACGAGATGGCGGGACAAATAATTGAGCATACTGCCAGGGAGAGGGATGAAGAATGCATTTATTAACAAAATAATTAGGGTTGGCTGACACAACGTTTTCGGTCAATTTGACTTGAAACGTATGAAATGCTGTTTGAGTGTCTGCAGACTGAATGAAGAGTATTTGCTTTTAGTCAACCGATGCAGCAGGTGAGCAGGCCCGGCAACGTTTTGCACAAACCTTCGGTAATAATAGAGGGGTTTTTTTGGGGTTAGATTCAGTAAATATATAAATGTGTCGTTAAACCCGTCACCCGACACAGCCAACTAGTAAGGGTTGTCACGTAAACAGAACATGGTTTTCGCATTCAAATAACACGAGCATTGAAACTGCCAAAGTAATTAAAACAAAATACCGTATATTTCGGGAGTAACTGATAAACTCGCCAGATGTTTGGAAAAACAAAACATCCTAGTCAGATTTGGCACGGTACATGAAATAGAGAAATTAATATCTGGTACGAAAGATGTGTTACCGAAGCTATCACACAGAAGGCGTATACAGGATTACTGCACTTGAAGCAAATGCTATGTTGGGCAAACAGGACGAATGATCAGTACGAGACTAAAAGAACATCAAATAAATATTAAATACTCCCAAATACAACTGTCAGCAGTAGCAGAACACGTGTGCCAACAAGGACACTCAATTGATTTTGATAATGTTGAAGTTCTGTGCAAAACTAGCTACGACTGGCCAAGACTAATTAGAGAATCTATCGAAATTTTAAGAAATAAAAAATATTTTAACAGTTCGGATAGCTACCGAGTGCTCCGTGGAAGCGAGTCATCAAATAATACATTATTTAAATGCATGCCTATAAAGGGCACCATACTTCAATAGGGATTAACGTTGGTACGGCTATTTTAATACACACAATAGACAGGAAGGACAAGATCAAATGGCTCACATAATGCACATGCATAATGTACATTGATTCATTAACCCCCCCCCCCCCCCCCCATTTTGTGCAAGAGCGCAGAAGTGTGGTCACCACATCTACGCCTCTATATGAGGAACGAAACAGTTAGACTTGTCCACAAATCTGTCTGTCGCCTGATGAAGCTAGTTGTCATTACTGGCGAAACGTCGTACTCAGATTGTAAATGTTGTGGCTTGGCTCTCCAACACACCGGTGTGCTGTACTCGTGACGAATTGGCCACGTTCTGTTTACGTGACAACCCTTACTAATTGGCTGTGTCGGGTGGTGGCGGGTTTATCGACACATTTATATATTTACACGATCTCACCCTAAAAAAACCTCTATTATGGATGATATTGGTCGCGAAAGCCCACGGGTTAAACAAACCTCCGATAAAATGTTACCAGACCTTTGAACTGGTGGATGAGTAATATTTAAAGGTACGGGCTAACTCTCAATACATGCAATATTGTTATGGTGGGTGAGTAGCTACTCCAGAATGACAACATGTCCCAGGTAACGCACCACAGTTTGGAAGAAAACACATTTGGAAGGTTTCAATTTAGAATTGTCCTCACGCTACCTCAAAACACACTTCCTTCAGTCCGGACAAATGCTCGTTAAAATGTTTCCCAAAAAATCATCATGTTGTCGATGTAAATAAGGAAAGTCTGGCATTGTAGGCATGATAAGACAATTTACATCAATGTTTGGAAGGTATCTGGTGAATTTTGTCCGGCCCATCAGGAGTACATTATGTTCGAATTTCCCGAAGGCAAAAAAGTGTGCAAAAGTACACTGCCACTGACAAAGGATCAATGGATTCCTGGATACCTGGCAATAAATACGCATCAGCAACAGCCATCTTATTAAAGTGTCAACAATTGACGCAAACCCTCCACGAGCCATCCTTTTCTCATCACAAATGCAGACACACCCGCTCCATGGGCTATTAGAAGGAGATTCTACCAATCGGCATCTCGCATTTTCTGGATGCATTGACGGACCTTTTCCGGAGCACATGTAGTCACAAATGTCAAGTATTACATGTGTAAGTGTGGGTGCCGAACCAGAGATCTCCCCAAATCGTTGGGGAGGTTTTTACTGAAAGCATCTAGAAAACCATCCAACAGAGCATGGAAGCTCTCATAGTTGAGGCATGGACGACCGCGCCTTGTAAGGCCAATTGTTTAAGTTAGACTCGCGTTCTCAGGCTGCATCTCCACAGCAAAAATCGATCGCTCGCGTGCGTTCATCAGGCAATATACGTGCATTGAGCAATCAATACATGAGATTCTAACGTGATGATGTAAGCCCCGGAGTTGAACACTGGCAACACACGGGCTGATCAAAGCGTGCAATAGTACCCTCAGCCCATAAGTCATGATGAGATTAAACAAAATCATCAAAAGGCTCTCCTGGACAATTATTTTACTGACTTCCATAAATTCTGTGCCAAGTTTTATGCTTTTATCAAAGAAAAAATTCGTCGATATTTCACAAGTCTGCTGTACCACGAATCGGTGAGAAAAGCAAACAAACTGTAGCTTTCTATGTAACCACAATATGTCTGGTTAGCAATAACACGAAACGTGATAGTCAATCAATCATAATGCACCTTGATAGCACTGGTGGAAGGTGGGAATGATGGCCGTGAGCCAAGCCACGAACCAAAGGGACTTGTGCATCACGAACACCTTTGCCACCCTTCGTGAGTGCCACGGCGCGGCAAATTAAACAGCGCCAACCTCCAGGCTGCTATTCTGACTGATCGGGCGAAGTGTTACAAAAGTCGAGTATACATCAAATTTGTTTTGCTTGGAGCTAGTACTTGAATAAAAATGAAGTGCAATTATCTGTTCACAGCCTGCCTCAACAGCCCACTCTCCGGCGGTTATTGCAAGGGAGTAAGCAGCAGTGATGGCAACATTTTTGATCTATGGACTTGTGATTTGGCCGTCTTTGTAGATTTCATTCTATCACCATTGTTTATATATATAAGTAGACGGCTTGAAGGATAGTCAAAATAATACATTTAATAGAAAATGTAATGTTTAACACGTCGGCTTTCGCGACCAATATCATCCATAATACAGGTTTTTTTTGTGTTAAATTGCGTAAATATAGAAATGTGTCGTTAAACTCGCCACCACCCGACACAGCCAATTAGTAAGGTTTGTCACGTAAACAGAACGTGGCCAATTCGTTACTAATACAGCACACCGGTGTGTTGGCGAACAAAGAAACACCATTTACAATCTGAGTACGACGTTTCGCCAGTCATTACACAAAGCTTCCAGTCGTCGTGGAGTGCCACTCTTCTTCAAGGTGGCGAGATGCCAACCACCTCGCCTGCTATAGACGAGGTTCCATCCCGACCCTGACTCCTGTACGTTTGGACTTGGCATGCCGTTCTCCCCGTGGTCGCATGGTTTTCTCCGGGTCCTCCGGGTTTCCACATTTAAAAACGTGCGCTTCGAGTATTTGACTGCTGTACATATCCAAGTGATAAGCCACTTTACCGAGCTACCATTTGTGGCCAGGCCGATTCTGATAAAGATCTGCATAGCTCAGTGGGCCTTACCCAATACATTATACAAAACGTTGACTTAAAGCTCTCGTGACTGCAGGAATTCACACTCGTTGGGTCTTTCGGTAAAGTCACGTAGGTAGAAAAAAATAATAATAATAGAAAAATCACGACGTTTCGATCGCAACACAAGCAATCGTCCCTAACCTGAAGACGAGTGTCTGTGTTGCGATCGAAACGTCGTGATCTATTATTTTTCTATCTACGCGACTTTACCGAAAGACCCAACGAGATTATACAAAACGTGTTTAAGATGCTCTGCCTGATAGCTGCTAAGGTGCCTGGCTCTGTGTGGATGTCTCATAAGAGTAGTTTTTTAATTGGCATATGAAGGGTTACCTGATAATTGAGAAAGAGACAACCATACTCTTTGGTTCTTTTGGTAAAGTCACGTAGGTATAACATAAAATAAATCACGACGTTTCGGGCGCAACACAAGCGTCTGTCATCAGGTGGGACGCTTGTGTTACGCCCGAAACGTCGTGGTTTATTTTATTTTCTACCTACGTGACTTTACCGAAATAACCAAAGAGTATTGATTCCTGCAGTCACGAAAGCTTCAAATCAAGAGACAAGAGTAAAAATGTATGACAAAATAAACTAAATTGTATTACAAATTTTAATTATGAGATGTTGATGGCATATTGCCAATAGTTCACAAAGCACTCCTATAATGTATTTGATAAATAATGATTGCTTTAAAACTTTCTATTTAGCGCTGTAATAATTCCGAAAATGAGTAAGGAAGTGAAATATGAAAATACTAGCTTGTACTACCCGGGACTTGGATCCACCACGCCTGGCCGTGGCGATGTTCACACACCACACACTCGTTTGAGGCTGAGTCGACCTAGGGGAGGCCCAGGACCGGTTGAAATAATCGTCACCGGTGGTGGCCCTGAGCGGGAATCGAACTCGGGTCGCCGGGTTCATAGCGCAGCGCGCTAACCACTACACCACCGCTCCCCACTCACACAGCGCGCTAACCACTACCCCACCGCTCCCCACTCACACACACAGCGCGCTAACCACTACACCCACCGCTCCCCCCACACACACAGACAGCGCGCTAACCACTACACCACCGCTCCCCACTCACACACACACAGCGCGCTAACCACTACACCACCGCTCCCCACTCACACACACAGCGCGCTAACCACTACACCACCGCTCCCCACTCACACAGCGCGCTAACCACTACCCCACCGCTCCCCACTCACACACACAGCGCGCTAACCACTACACCCACCGCTCCCCCCACACACACAGACAGCGCGCTAACCACTACACCACCGCTCCCCACTCACACACACACAGCGCGCTAACCACTACACCACCGCTCCCCACTCACACACACAGCGCGCTAACCACTACACCCACCGCTCCCCCCACACACACAGACAGCGCGCTAACCACTACCCCACCGCTCCCCACTCACACACACAGCGCGCTACCCGCTACACTACAATGCGTTACACTTCCACATGGGCGGGTCACGTGACAGATGTGACGTCACAGCTCACTTGCTGTGCAAAAAAATCTCTGCATTATTGAGCTCCCCCCCCAAAACAACCAAACGTGTATTTGTATAATGTGTGCATGGTGTACAGTCTGGAAAGTACCCACATGGCAAATTTCCAGTTTGTTGCATGTCGGGAAGTATGCTAAACATTTTGAACAGACACACATATTCACAACTTTGCCTTTTATATATATGGAGATTAACGATAACGACGATGTAGCGAAGTTGTATTATAATGACAAGGACGATACAGTATATTCATGTATCGTACTGTACATATTGCGATTCCGTGAACATGCGACTCCCTACGATATGTATCGTAGGGAATCGATTCCCCCGGCGTGTGTTGCGTAACGGCGGAATCGACACCGCGGTATCCGATACCTTGGAATCGACACCGTGGAATCGATTTCTGCCGGCGAAACTATGGCGGAGCCGGAGCTGCTGCTGGACTCGAACATCAGGGTGTGGGTGGTGCTGCCCATCGTGCTCATCACCTTCCTCGTGGGCATCATCCGCCACTACGTGTCGCACCTGCTGCACTCCGACAAGAAGGTAGAACTCGAGCAGGTCTCCGACAGGTGAGAGACGGGCGGCCCGTGGGGGTGGGTGGGGGCAGGGCGGCAGGGCGGTCAGGCAAGGCCGAGGCCGCGGGGAGGCCTAGTGGGAGTCGCCTCTTGTCCCCGGCGGGCGAGACTCGAGACGCCTGCGGTGTCCTGCAGTGTTGCTTATCTGTCGAGCTTTGAACGTGTCGCTAGATGTCTGATGTTAACTTTCGTTCTGTATTTGGCAATGTTGAATTCCCTGCGTTGGATTTTCCGAGGAGAGAAACGCACCTCAGGACTTGGTGTTGCTGAGAAGCAAGCGCTGTTACATTACACGACGTCTCACGTCTCGGGTTGGGTTCCTCCTTGATCATTCCCTATCCTTTTTTTTAAAGAGGTGTTTCAACGTTGCAATGCCCCCTCATAACCGTGTTCCTTGCTTTTTTGCACCTTTCACCTGCCATTGAAGTCACCCATTGTGATGCAGAGCGCGTTGGCCTCATTCCGAAGTTAATTTGAATTGCCCCTAACTTGTAGTGGTTTCAGAGCCTTAATAGCTGGACAACTGAAATACGCCATAATTACTGTTAACTCTCCTGTGATATAAACGGTGACCACGGATTAACTGAATGGAGTTGTCTTCTTCACACGTAGACTTTCGCGACCGCTTATGGAGTTGTCTCCTCGCTTCCACATAGCAACTTCACCCCAACCACCATCACATCCTTATTCCTGGCCTCGGACATATCCATTATCGACACATTTCTGATGTTGACTATCTGTAACGTAATAATACCTCCAACACCCTAATCCAAGTAATACCACTAACACTGTCCCTAATGCAAACCCTGTTCTTAATGATTAACTCTCCTCTCATTAGAATAGTTTGGTGGTATACTTGTCCTTCACTCTTTTCTATTCATGCCCTTAAAATAGTTAATCAATGATTGAGATCCATTATCTGTTTTATTACGTAGATGTAGGGAGAGAGTTAAGTAGGGATAGAGTTTTAATTAGCTGACAATAATACTGTTTCCTGAGTCCACTGAGTGTTTAATGTTTAACTTGTCCTCTTGACCTTCACAAGTCAACCACCTGCAACAATAAAACAGAGAAGATTATTACACAGCACTTGCCTAAAGAATTGTAAAAATAAGGCTGTTGGGCCTAGTTTATTGTGCTGATGGTGCCATATATTCATGTATTTTTGTGTTTTTCATCCAGTCAAGTCCTGTTACGAAGCAGAATACTCCGAGAGCATGGGAAGTACATCCCGCGGCAGGTAACGTGCACATGCCAGCCCATGCCGGATCCCACACTTGCACTCCTGCACGCACACTTGTGCACGTGCCTTTGTGGCACCGCAATACACAGGTGCGCGCGTACCTGCTTGTATCGGCAAGAGCACAAATGCACACTCGTGTACATGCAATATCCCAGTAAGTGGACGGTCAACATGTGGGACTCTGCCATCTGCATATACAGGTGTAGTACGAGAACAGTCTCATGTTTAGACTGTTGTTGCATGCATTATAATGCCTCGATTCTAACACTGTGTAAGTGCATCCAGGCTGAAAACGAATAAGAGTAATATGCCCAATAGGTGATTTTTAGACAGCACGAAGTGCAATTGTGACTGTAGGCTCATTTTCCTCAGCATGTAGTTCCCGTGCACCCTCGCTCAGGCAGGTGGCTCCCATTGCGTCGGAGAACCGAGCCCTCAGGCTACCCCTACAAAACTAATTTCGCACTTTGAGCTGGGCCAACCCCGGAACCAGTCGTGGCATCAGAGTCAACATGCAAACGAGACTCGTAAACACAGATTCCGCTCGCTAAGTTGAGTTTTCTGGCCATGTCCTGAAATGTAACTTGGCACCTGCATGCATGAGCACACACTCAGTATTATCAATGCTCATAGAACAAATGCACTTTGTAAAATAAAAATGCTTATGTTTTTGTTATTTCCTTTCAGCATTTAAAGCGCGTGAATGTCATGTCTTCCTTACAGTCGTTCATCAATCGCAAGCACTACTTCAATGACACCGAAACAGGCTTTTTTAAGAAAACCAAGAGGAAGACCATCCCTAAAAACCCGATGACAGGTATTCCGAGTGCTTTCTTACTCTGAGTGTTACACATTTTGTAATTTTATGATTTATGCTTAACACAACTCATGCATCATTCCCCAATAGCCGTCATTAACAAAAAAAAATTATATTTTGTATTCAAATGAGAGAATATCTTATTGGTATTGTCCCTTGTGTAGATATTGGTGTTGGTCATATATTTACTTATTAACCACTGATATGTACTTGACAACCCGACTGATTTAAGCAGGAGGCTGCCAATTGTTTTCACCGCATGCCGAATTTCAAAGACGATCATCCCGCATTGTAGATCTTTTTTATTAGTAAACACAGTCTTTTTAAATCGGCATGCAGTAAACGGATTTAAACATTGTCAGCCTACCACTTAAATTGGTAGGTTTGCAACGCATGCCGTATTTACACTTCCATTTTAAACAAAATAATACATGTGCCGCGCTATAAGTTACATGTAGCGTTGCGCATGGCTGTGCGCACGCGTAACCCACGGTATGTGTCTTGAGCAGACCCAAGCATGCTGACCGACATGATGAAGGGAAACTTCACGAACGTGTTGCCCATGATTGTCATCGGTGGCTGGATCAACTGGACCTTCTCCGGCTTCGTGACCAGTAAGGCCAGCACGACATCATTGGTATAACGAGCTGCGAGTACTGGAAATCGCACCAGTTAAAATAAGAAATATATAAACCCCACAACCTGCACAGTATGGGGTGGTCCTCATCCAGGAGTGAGCTGACAAAAACGGTGGCTGTCTAGTAATGGTGTATGTGTGTGTGAGCAATTGTGTGTGCTTGCACCCATGTGTACGTGTCTTCACTTCCTCAGCAAAGGTGCCCTTCCCGCTCACGCTTCGCTTCAAGCCCATGCTGCAGCGCGGAATTGAGTTGGTGTCGCTGGACGCGTCGTGGTAAGGAGTCCATCTCCGCGACTTCTTCGGTAGCCAGCTTCACACTCGCTGCACTGTACTACCCTTCTTCAGATCAGTAGCAGTCGCCCCATCTGAGGGTTGCTTTAAAATGTTTTTGGAAATGGTGGAAGAACGGAGACCAGTGATGAGACAGGTTGATGATGCAGCTATATCTGCAGTGAGCTTGCCAGTGTCTTACCTCCAGTAATTAGTTTTGCTTTAGACTGAATGCAGGCAAGCACAACTCTATCTGGTTGCACAATGCAGTCTAAAGATAATGGACCTCGAGCATCTTTTCACTATGCAACCCAAAACACAGATGTTGCAGACACATATGTGATCTGTGTACCTAGTCTGTGTGTTATGGGCTGTCTGGCCTAAATCTGTAGCTCCGTTAATAGGAAATAGACTAAGTTATAATGTAGTCATTGTGACACCCTGCACGTGACTGTGACATCACTCATATTAATTCTTCAAGTGCTCAGATGGAGTGCTTGCTCTTTCAAATGTTTGAGATGTGATGTAAGTTGCTTATCACGTTTAAAGCGTCCTGAGCTCTCCATGCGTAGAGGGCACTATAAAAAACAAATCATTGTCATTGTTAACACGATGGCGTATTGCGCTGGGCTGTGTGCAGGGTGAGCTCAGCGTCGTGGTACTTCCTGAACGTGTTTGGGCTGCGCAGCATGTACTCCCTCATCCTGGGACAGGACAACGGTACGCTGCCACCGTTTTCACGCACGACACGCGCACGCCAGTAAGCCAGAACGTCGCTCTTATAGCGCCACACGGTGGCAGCCAACAGCACTATTCAATGAACGCACACGGCAGAACATTAACCCTGATATAAACACAGACACAGCATGCAACAAACAGGACAGCTCTCACTAAACCCAGGACACAACACTCACTTAACACAGCAGCTACAAAATACAGGAGGCTGCATTCGTCAAGCATTTTGCCATGTATAATGTTGGTGTGTATTATTGGTATGCCTTTTGGCGTCCTTTGGTCTAACACCGTTTGAGACGAGGCTCAAAAGAAAGCTGTCTCTGGTGTGGACCAATCAGTTTCAAAGACAATGCATATTATCAGTGTTTTTTGTTTGCATTTTGACCACATGTATTGTGGTTAATGCAGACATGATTCCTTGTAAAAGGTTTCAGTTTGGTGTTTTAACAACTTAACACCTATTTTGTTGCCAGAAAAAAGGTGAAAAACCTATTCTCATATTGGTACGATGTTGGTGTAAATAATATCGGTGTATGTTATGTTATTTTTGTATATGATGTTCTTTAATTAGGTTAGTGCTGTGATGGTGTTGTACTAAATTATGATGGTGTGTGTGATAGTGAAGCGCATCATTGGTGTGTAATGGTAATGTTTACGGTGACGTTTGTGTGGATGATCTTCATATAATGATAGTGCTGTGATGATGGTGATGTATATCAATGGTGTGTACGATGATACTGACATGTGTGATGGTCTTGATACTGACATGTATGATGATGGTCTTGTTGTGCAGCTGCTGACCAGGCCCGGATCATGCAGGAGCAGATGTCTGGTGCTGCCATGGCTATGCCCCCTGACCCCAACAAGGCATTCAAGGTCTTATTGCTGTTGTTACATTCTCTCAATCAAAATAGGTTCAAACGTTGTTGTGAAATACCATGTATGAACACAGAGAGCCTGCAATGACAAGATCATGGGTTAATTTTCTTGCAGCAATATTAACCCAGTTGTCCAAGTGGAGGGAGGAGGGTTATTGTATCAGCCTAGTCACCGTTGCACTAAAATCTCGTTTAAATTTGGCTGCTCATTTATTCAAGAATATGTAAGGCCTTTTTAAGGCATTACTTCATTTTTGTGTTGTCATCTTCCAGGACTCGTGTAATAGTAACACTGTGTAGCAATGGCCTAGCCCCTAGAGCAAGACGATTCTTATCCATGTCACATACCTGTTTGGGCGATGGGCACACGGGACGATTCTGTCGTTGGCACGCTGGAGCTCCCGGGCCACAGCCTCCATGTGGCGCACACGGCGCAAGTCCCTCGCGCTGATTGCCGTCGCGTGCCATCGCTCGCAGGCCGAGTGGGAGGCCCTGGAGATCACGGAGCACAAGTGGGTGCTGGAGACTGTGGAGGAGGAGCTCATGGCCAAGGACCTGGTGCTGGACGGACTCTTCAGTGAAGAGCGAGAGCCCGTCATGTTCTGAGACTCGTCCTGCACGCACACCCTCCCGCAGAGCACAAACTTTCCATACTCGACATTCTGGCTGGGCTACACCATGGGTGGTGACTCTAAAAAGGTTAATTAGTTTTATTTATTCTACATCAATAAATGCCCGCTTTTCCTGTGGAATTACACGTGAACAGCAGATGTTAAAATAGGTTATTCTGCTGCTGTGTTCTGATGGTACTTTGCCATGAGTTGTAGGGACACGCAAGTGTTTTTTTTTAAGATCGCGCTTCATAAAGTCTTTGCAGAAAGTTCCAAATGTTTTTTTTCACATTCGTGGTTTTTTAGTGCTACTCTGTCTTGATATCGTTTCTCATGCAAGTAATGGTTAGTGAGATGAATGCAGCTTTATTTATGTAGGTGTGTTTGTGACCTTTCATGAAGTAATCTACTCTGCGTTGTCTGGCGTATGGAATGCGGCCTTGTAGAAATTACCAGCAAATGAGTGAAGGTGTCCAGATGTCCCCCCCAACACGGGCCATTTGGCCTGATAGTGATGGGTCCCTGTGTGCGTTGATCTTGATGTCAATCTGGTAACAGCCAAATTATCGCGTCGGTTATATTGCCCATTCGACCCTGATTGAACGGCCAATGGACAAGGCAGTGCTCGTTGAGAGAAATTGCATGGCTTCGCTCGTACAGTTGAGTTGATCACAGTAGAAGCTTGTATAGTTCTTTAAGATTAATGATGTAAATTGATGTCTCTTTCTTTGGCTCATTGTACTTATTGATGGATCGCATGATGGAGTAGTGTGGGTCTGTCTACCTCTCATGTGGGTGGCCTAGAAGAATTTCCCAATTGCCCGTCAAAGAGGAAGGCCTTTCACCTGCGTGTTGTCAAACACTCCCAGCACCAGTTAGCAAATCTTTATTTTTAAGAGATTAATACCTAATATCTGTGCAAACTATGCCAACTTTTTCTTCAGATTTTATTGTTGAGCCACCACAATGCAAAATATTTCCAAGATGAGTTGGTTGTTTGCCTTGCCTCTGAAGGTCCATTTCTTGAAACATTCGTCATTTGCTGCCAGTAAATGCACACCTTTAACCTTGCGACTTTGCGATTGAGTTGTTTGATCACTAAAAAAATGACTCCTAGAGGGGTCTTTCCTGTAGAGCGGTGATGCATATAAAAAAAAATCAGTCTTGTATACTCCTTGAGGCTTTCCCAGTTAACAATTTCAACTGGTCTTGGTTTTTAATCTATGGCATTTTCATTTGTGTGTATGATAGTCTTGAGTTGAGTAATTTTAGACTGAGAGATGTGCAAGACAGCTTGTTTGTTTCAAGGACGGTGTGGAGAACACGATGATGGAGGTGTACAGATGTAGAACATACAATAATTTAAAACATGTGCAAGACTAGAATAAAAAAAATAGTAACGTAATATTGTTGCATGGTATAGTGATAACATGGGCATCGAGATGCGCTAATTGGCAAGGTGATGCATCACAAGGATGAAGTGATGAGCAAATGTAAACAAAGACGTGCAAATGGTCAACAAAAAACACTGACAAGGGGTTAAGCCAGTTACAAAATATTTTGCGGTGTTAAACGAGGAATGATCAAAAGCATGACTTATGTAAAATCTACACAAGCAGAACAAGCTTGGTACAACACCGTTTGAGAAGCCACTAGAAATTCAGCTCAGTGTAAACCCAACGATGCGTTCCCACTGGAGTGATTGTGTGAGAGGGCTGCGATTGTGAACTTGGTAATGCAAGAGGCTTAGCTATGAAGTCTCGTTCCGATTTCCCTGAAGAATGCGTGAAAGGTGCATGACTTAAGAGGCGTAGATTGTAAAGAACCTTGCACTAGTAAGAGCTATTGCCAAGACAACACCGTGAATTATTTTGCAACGCAGTTCTCCGCCCCAGCCGGGCCGGTGGTGGGCAGACGTGTTTCTAAATACGAACTGTGGCGCTCGGGTGGTGTGCGAGCTGGGATCCAGACTGCCGGCTGCCTTGTGCCTGACCCCTCGCCCGAGATGGAAGTGTGCATTCTGAGATGACTAATGAAAAGTTACGTAAATAAATATGACTGCTGTGTAGGGAGTCCTGTATGTGCATGTACAACCCCTTTTGTCAACGCACTGCTGGCTGGGGGCCTCCCCAAGCCATGCAGGGTATTGGTCACACTCCACAGTGAGTTGGTGGGAGTGAGAAACGTGGAAGTCGATAGAAGCACAGTTTTACAGCGGGTGGAGCGGCAGTCGCCCATCCAAGCACGATCCAGGACCATATCCCTGCTCACCACCTGAGATGTGACGGGGCGGGTGCACTCGGGGTGAATCGGTCACGGGCATTGTTGTCTTCATGTCACCACAATCTTTGTGCTGCCCGTCTCGCAAGATTATCGTGTCGGGAAGTGGCCGTAGTAGACCTTGACTGCATGTTTCTCGAGCTACACTTTCCCAACACGCTCCGTCGTACTTATTGTGAATATCTCGCATGCAGACAACCAGGAGCTTGACGATGTCCCACCTCAGGCGATCTGTCACAATTCGGGTTTGCGTTACCATTCAAGACTCGATCCTTTTTAACGCTGAATAATGTAGCTCTTATGGATGCATGGGTCACGTGGACCAATCACAACATTTATTAAAACCGATTATTAACACGATTTGTGGGTAGCTTGTGAGCATTCAGATGTAACTCTATAAACTTGTATAAAGTGATGCATCATTCCCACGACGACGCGACACGTGGCCACAGCGCTGCGTGGATTGTGCGTGGCCGATGCGAATAGCTGCTGTTGAGGTTCAACTGGAGTTGCGATGATTGCAATTCGGTAGATTGGCGCCGTGGGAGACGCGTGGCTCGCAGCAAGACGCGGCTGCGGAGTTTGTATATTCTCTCTGCATGGGGGTCTCTTCTGTTTCCCGCCTTCGCTAAACACCGTCACTGGTATTGGACAACCTCGTCTGCTGAACATTCAGCTCGCAATGTGTCAATTGGGAGCACAGTGCAGACATACCGCCCTCTTGTGGAAGCTTTGCAGGATGAGGCTCAGTGAGGCATTTTCAAGTGAGCGTCACGACGGCGGCGGCAGATGAAAGGAAATTCCTCTTCAGCCGAGACACCGTTTGATTCCTGGGATACGCTTTTTTGCTATGTAGATTGTATAAACCCTTACTTAAACATTCTAACTCAGAGCTAGATAGAACAACTATCAAGCGAGTTATAGTTCTACCATCTGGCACGTACGTGTGGTGGCCTTAAGACGACTCGCTTCACGGCGCTGTAAGCAGAGCCGTCCCTTGGGGACAGCGAGCGGGACGACCACCCCGGGCCCCGCGCTTTGGGGGGCCCCGCGCTTTGGGGGGCCCCGCGCTTTGGGGGGCCCCGCGCTTTGGGGGGCCCCGCGCTTTGGGGGGCCCCGCGCTTTGGGGGGCCCCGCGCTTCGACGTCACGGTTTAGTTCAAGGTGTTGGGGGGGGGGGGCACAGTGGGATATGCGCCGGGGCCCGCACCCCCTATCGATGGCCCTGGCTGTGGGCCACTGCGGGCTGCCGGAGATGCGGAAGCGTCTTCGACGTTCGAGCAGCAGCAGCAGCGCCGCGATTGGTGCCCCCTGCGCGTGGCCGGTCGCGCCTGCGAGGCGCAGCGGTCGCACATCCGGGCACCCGGCCCGCACATCCGGGCACCCGGCCCGGATGTGCGAGGCGGGGCGCGAGGGCGGGGCCGGCGCGCGAGTCTGGGGGAGGGGTGACGTCACAGGTACCCGCCCCCCTCGCGCCTCCCCCCCCCTACCCCGCCCCGCCTCCCCCGTTCCACCTTCCCCCCGCCCCGCGCGCAGGAAGTATCGGCGCGCGTGGCACTGTGGGTAGTAGTTGCGAGTGCGGCTGGGTGTGGCTGCTGCTGCTGCTGTGCCGACTGCGACGACTCCGAGCACCGCGCGCACGACGAGAGCGGTGAGCGGGGGGGGGGGGGGGGGGGGTGAGGGGGGGTGAGAGCCCCCCCCCCGCGCCCTGCACACACCGGGGGAGAGTGGGGGCTGGGGGGGCCCCGCTCCCTTCCCGCGGGCCCCCCACTCGGCGGCCCCGCTGTGTGCGGCGCCGCGCATGCGCAGTGGGGTTCTTTTTAATGTCCGGAGACTTCACTTCCCTGTGCGCGGGGTGACCGGGTGACGCGGGGTGAGCGTATGGGGTGACGCGTGGGGGGGGGGGGGGTAACGCGGGGTGACGCGTGGGGGGGGGGGGGTAACGCGTGGGGGGGGTGACGCGTGGGGGGGGGTAACTCGTGAGGGGGGGGGGGGTAACGCGTGGGGGGGGGGGGTAACCCGGGGTGACGCGTGGGGGGGGGGGTCACGCGTGGGGGGGGGGGTAACGCGTGGGGGGGGGGGTAACGCGTGGGGGGGGGTAACGCGTGGGGGGGGGGGTAACTCGGGGTGACGCGTGGGGGGGGGGGGTAACGCGTGGGGGGGGGGGGTAACGCGTGGGGGGGGGGTAACGCGTGGGGGGGGTAACGTGTGGTGGGGGTAACTTGGTGACCGGGTAACGCAGGTTTCGGGTAACGCAGGCTTCGGGGGTAACTTTAGGTTACCGGTTAACATGGGGTGCGGAGTGAGGGTAACAATGTTATGGGTAACAAGATTAAGGGTCATCTGGGGTAAGGTAACCTTGGGTAATCGGTATTATGGAGTGACTGTAAGGGGTGACGAGGTAACGTAAGGAACTGGGTAACGTGGTGTGAGAGGTAGCATGATGCGAGCTGTGGTGCGATACGAGGGTAACCTTGAGATAATGGCTGCCTTTGTGAGGGGTAACCTGGAGTGGTGCTACTGATGAGACTGCTGTGTTGAGTGAGATCGCTAGCAGGTTACCAGGAGTTAAAGTGGCGGGTGAGCTGGTCTAAAGTAAACTTGGGTGACGTCACTTGGAGTACGGTGACCCATTGCGAGTGGTAACCTTGAGTGAGTTATCCTAGGGTGGGATTACCTAATAAGGAGGAGCCCTGTGGTGGGGTAACCTCGGCTGGGATATGTGGTCAAGACTCGCCAGGGATGAGTGGTAACCTAGCGAGAGGGTGACACTGGGTGAGTTTACCTCGAGCTGGGGGGGGGGTAACCTACGAAAAAGTAGCACGCGCTACACAACGTGTGGCGGGTAACCAGGGGGGTTAACCTGTAACTCGGGGGGGGGGGGTTACCCGGTGTGTGGCGGGTAACGAGGTGAGGCTGGCGTGAGTCGGACCTCTGAGGTGACGTGTGGGGGGTGGGGGGGGGCTGCTGGGACCCGCTCAGGGGGAGGGGAGGCAAACAAAGGCCGGGCGAGCAGTTGATGTGGAAATGTCAGCGATGAATAATTGATACAGCGCACGCCTCCCTCCCCCTCTCTCTCGTGTGGCGGTGCCCGCACTGCCCTGCCGCAGCTACACTCACTGCTGCCACCATACTGCTACAGCTGCTGCCACCACACTGCTACAGCTGCTGCCACCATACTGCTACAGCTGCTGCCACCATACTGCTACAGCTGCTGCCACCATACTGCTACAGCTGCTGCCACCATACTGCTACAGCTGCTGCCACCATACTGCTACAGCTGCTGCCACCATACTGCTACAGCTGCTGCCACCATACTGCTACAGCTGCTGCCACCATACTGCTACAGCTGCTGCCACTACACTCCTAATGATAAAGTTGCAAGTACAGGACGATAGCTATACTTGATACGACAGCAACACTGACCCAGCTATACTACTACAGCGACGCTACTCTGCTTCAGTAATATAACTCCGAGCATAGTACAAGTACTTCACCTAGAGCTTACATGTGCACCACAGCTATTGTGCAACTGCTTCAACTAAACTATTACAGCTACACTACTGCGACAGCTACGTAGCTTCTGCTACGCTGCTGTTCCAACGACGTTAATCAAATATCTAAATGACGGGAAGACCCATCGTAATAGAATAATACTGTAGTGCTGGCTGGATAACGATACGTTTCAATCCACACACGGAAACCTGTAAAAAGCACACAGCCTTTGTGCATGATGCAAAACATCAGCATGTTTGTATTTTTTGGCCACTTAGGCCAATATAAAATGACATTGACACAGAGATGGACAACCGTAGACCAATTTCGTCCTTATCATGTCTCATCACCAAATGTTTTGATGGTGGCCTAAGACAAGGGGACAACAATGCACTTCTTCAGGAAATGCTGATGGTTGTTGGATAATGCACAAAGGCTGCGTTTTTACACATTTCTGCTTGTTGTTGACAGCTGCATTTCAACAACAGTTGCACGACTGCTTGTAGATTGCTGTACCATGATAATACACGAGGACCCTACTCTGCAGTGGTTGTCACGTGGGGAGACTGGCCCTTACCATAGACATGTGGAATTTCTAAGTGATTTATACAGTGAAGTTGTAACTTAAGACTTTGTAACACTCCTACTGCACTGTAAGGTTAGACCTCCACTTCAATGTTAATAGCCCTGCTGACCCTGCCATGAAAACATGTTTGTCAGAATTGGGGTTTGAGTCTGAGCAGCAAATAGTGTGGTGATGAGATGTACACGACTGTATATTTAGATTTTATTTTCATTTATTTTCAAATGCGCCTTTTCCCCCTTGAAATGTTGAATGCCGCTTGTGTTATTAAAGTGTGCGACCCAGTAAAGCAGTATCTCCACAGGGCTGAGGTTTTATTACAACACACAGAGAGAGCTCTTGTATCCATCTTAACAACCGCTGCGGCTTGGGCTCATTTCCTGCTCCATTGTAATGGGTGGCCATGCACCCTCGAATAATTTATCAGTTCCATCGCCACGTTAATGTAATTATGATAATGTCATTCTGATAGACACTCACATGGTGTGTTTCTACAAGCAGAAAGTCACCATGCACCTTCCGATTCGGAATGGAATTAATGTTTTGTCAATTGGTGTACTGTTGTGTGACAGCCAGTATTTCTTTTAGCACAAGTGTTCTCCATAACCGCTTTGTCATAAATGTTTATTGATATTCAATTACAAGAATGTTGCAAGCCGAAAAGTGCAATTTATTTACTTTAATGTAACTACATAATAGATTAATTAAA